CGGGCGCGCGCCTGACGCGGCTTCCTCCTCCTCCCCCTCCTCCTCCTCCCGCGCGCTCCGGGTGACGCAGCGCCGGGCGGGCGCGCGCCCCTGCCCCGCCCTCCCGCGTGTCACGTGACTGCGGAGTCTGGAGGTGGCGGCGGGAGCGGCACCGGGAGAGGGAACTGGAGAGGGAGAGAGAGAGCGGTGCGGGACCGGGACAGAGGGGACCGCGGGTGAGGGACCGGACCAGGGGCGAGCGGTGCTTCCTGGCTGAACGTCTCCCCGGGCCGGCGCCGCCCCGCGCGTTAAAGGGTCAGGGGGTCTGTGCCGCGGCCCCGTCGGGGCTCTCGGCTCCCACCCCTGCCCTGCCTGCGGTTCCGGGAGGAGCTGGGGGGTTCCCTCTCAGCTTTTGCGGTGCTTCGCCTCGCTCCGTGTGTCGGAGAGAAAGTGACGCCGTGTCGTGGTTCAGCTCCAGCCGGCAACTCGTGGCCACTCAGCCCTCCCCAGCAGCGGAGTAGGGGAGATAATCGGGAGGGTAAAGGTGACAATTAAGGCTTTTAAGACGTCTTGAGAATTTTGAAGAAGTAACTTTCAGTTTCTCTGGCTAAATTCGTCTGTTCCCTTTTCCTAGTTCCTAGTGAGAACGTTCACTTTTCTTGTAAGGAAACATAAGGTTCCACATGACCGGCTTTTCTGGGAGGGAGTTACTTAATTTGTGGGACTGCACACTAAACGCTACTTAGAAATTCAGGGGCTTGAGTATGCGGTGTAACAAGTTTGGGGTTTTGTTAAGCAACGCACAACTTAAAAGCTCAACAAGAGATTCTTTTAAAGTATGTGCCCTTTATAAAAAATATATGACGTTGCAGGTTTGATAGGTATTTAGTCACCAGTTTTCACTCTGCGTTACCTCTCCTGTGTGATGGAAAAGAGGGACCATGGAGAGAATAGTTTATAGTTGTATCAGAATGCACAAATGCAGGTAATTCTAAATTTGGTATTACTTGAGGATAATACTTATTAAATTTAGTTTTGAGGGAGAAGATGATGTAGGTGTAAAACGCAAATGCTGAATGTTTTCTTTGAGAAAATTAGTTTCAAATCAAGGGTGCATGCTGTGAGGGGAAGTGTGTTTTTCTATAAAACACGGCTTTTTCCATAGTTAGGCAGAACTTGTTTCACTGGTGGATATAAATACAATTTCAGTGTTTTGAAGATGGGTATCTGAAATGAACAAAAACTTCTCATAAATGAAGCAGAAATCTAATTTTGCAGCCCTTGGGCCTTTTTGGCAAACTGAAACCTGATGATTTTTGAGTGGGAAAACATTGTATTTCTTTAAATACAGAAAACCAGATATAATACTATAAAAATTAACTAATCAAGAACTTAATTTTTGGCAGGTACAGCTAAAAACTGAAGTTGTAACATACTCATGAGTGAGCAGCACTAGTCGTGTATATCAATGGCCTCTGTGCCAGTAATTCCAGACTCTTACAACCATGTGTTGGCAGAGTTGGAATGTTTAGATCCATTGCTTTCTGCACTCAGGCTGGATTCCAGTCGTCTGAAGGTGAGTTTGTGGTGTTTGCTGTTTTGTTTGGGTTGAATTTTTTAATTCAAATAATAACCTTATTTTGTTAATTATTTGATTAAACCATAGGATTCATCTCATTGTTTTTCGGGGTGTGCATTCTAGCTTATGGGAGGGAACACTTCCTAAGAAAGAGTGAAGACAAAGGATCCTGTTACTCTGTGTGTTTTCTGATGCAGCTGTGGGGTACATAACACAGCCTGACATGGTTGCTGCCTTACACTGTTTGCTCCAGTTGCAGAGTGTGCTGTTCTAATATCTCTGCTGCCAGTGTTTCAGGAGGGGTGCGCACAGCTGGCAAACAATGAAGCCTTTAAAAAAATAATAATGCAAGAAAAATAATGCTGTGATTAGAACTTAGCAGCAGCCAGGTTGTGCATTATGATTTTTATTCCTTCAGTGCACGTGTATAGATGTGTCGAAGAGATGGCTGGCTCTGGGTAGTTCAGGAGGAGGACTGAACCTTATCCAGAAAGATGGTTGGAAGCAAAGACTCTTTCTCACTCATAAGGTAAGAGTAAAGAATGCTAAATGAAGATTTATGAAAATGGGGCTGGGAAAGAGACATTATTTCAAGTTAATCTTTATTAAGAGGAATCTTCAGCTTGCTAATTGTCCAAATAAGGTGAAGTTTTGGACAGCTGTGTTTAAAATAGGCTGCAGTTCTGGAGTGTATTCCCAGAGTGTGTGGTGTAATAGATTTCATTAGGTGTGAAAGAAATTACCTAAGACATTTGTTTTTCAAATGCTTATTTTTAATAGCAGCAACAAAGTCACCTGAATACTTAAGAATCAGAAGAAAACTTTGAACATGAAACCAGAAAAACTCACGTATAGATAACTCCCAGTGTTTGAATGTCCAAACCACGATATACCGGGATAAGTGAAGAAAAGATAGGCTGACTTGCTTTTGCTGGAAGAGATGATGGAACAGGGATTGCTGCTTCTACAGTAGATGCTGTTTTTCCTGGGAGCCACTGGTGCTTCCAGTGTAACATGAATGCAGACATTTTTTTAAGGTTGGGAGCATCTCAGTTCTGGCAAAACAAATCCCAAAGGTGCAAGGACAGGAGACTGATGCTTCTGTGTTTTACAAATTGGAGAATGCACTGCAGTCATTGCACTTGATGTTCTCATGTTGTTGGCAGCTGCATCCTTTTGGAGTAAGCTCAGTGCTTGCAAACAAAACCCAGACCAAAAAAACCCAACCACATCACAAGAAAGTGGTGGCATCTGCTGACATGATTCTGGTTTATGTCTTAAAGATAATTAAGTTGCATAGCGGTAAAGGCAGTATAGGAGCAACTTTTACCTGTGCTCACTCCAATACCTCCTTTCAGGAAGGTGCCATTTCCCGGGTGGCCTGTTGTTTGCATGATGAAGACTATGTTGCTGTTGCCACCAGGTGAGTGATGCACCTACAAACTTGAGTGCTGGATAAATATTTTTAAGTAGCTTCTGAGTTTCAGACTTGGATGCCTGCTGAGAACTTGGAGGGGCCAGGGAATTAACTGGTAGAGGGCCCTACAGAATGATTCTCTACTTAATTTTTTTTTTCCTGGAATAATTGTTCCAGAATAAGTATTATTTCTGTAACAGAACATTTATGGGAGAGCTCATACATGTGAAGTTATGATGATAAATGTCTCTCTGAGACCTTTCAGCATCAAAGAAGCATCTTCGTTAACTTGGCAGAGAGACATTGGTAGTTAATGCCACTTACATTGCTTAAAATCCATTTAAACTTAAGTATTTTTTCTCATCCTCACTGGCAATTCTAGTAAATGTGAGATTAGCCTTCCAAAGCTGCTGAAGCATTGTAATGCAATGAAGGACACTTCTTCTTCAGAATTAAGTGTGAGACGCTTCTTGAAAGCATGCAGCCTCCAACTGAACCAGCCCTGAGGTGTGCTGCTTCCCTTGGGTTTTCTGTTTCTTTGGAAAAATGCAACTTTATCACTGATAAGACATTAGAAGACTTATTCTCAAATTGCACATTTTTTTTTAAATTGTTGTAGCCAAGGTCTTGTAGTAGTCTGGGAGCTGAATCAGGAACGTCGTGGGAAGCCAGAACGGATTTATGTTTCCTCTGAGCATAAGGGCAGAAAAGTCACAGCTCTGTGTTGGGATACTGCTGCCCTTCGAGTTTTTGTAGGAGATCATGTGGGAAAAGTATCAGCCATCAAGATTAACACATCGAAGCAAGGGAAGGTAAAATGTTGCATACTTTGACTGAGATTAATCCACAGGATGTGATGTGTGGAATCTTTTTGTTTATTTTAGTAAAGTAGAACTGGGCAGGACTTGCCAGCTGATGTTCTGGTAGCTTTAACTATTGGGATGAAGAACTAGTCTCTTGAGACAACTGTAGAAATCCTGACCCGTGAACTTGCCCCACTCTCCTATTTTAGTAATGCAACAGGAAAATGCTTTCAAGTGTTCAGAATTAAAAACTGGATGAGCTGCTTCTTCTTGTAACTTAGAAGTATCCAAGTCTTGGTGTTTCTGAGCCTGTTGGATTCCTTAGAGTCCAGCTACAGGTTCAGCTGTTTATTTTAGTCCTCAGCTCAGCTGTTGGTCTGAGAAAGGGCAGTCCCAGACTCTGATTTTGCTTGGCTTTGTCTGGATACTCTCATTCTTAAAGATATGGATTAGATAAAACAAACGGTGGGTGGACATCAAGCCTACATCCATTACATTTTGTGCAAAGGGCAAACATGTTAATGATAGCAGCCTGATTTCTAGCCCTTGAGTGTTCTTTAGGTTTTACCACTACTGGGTCCTTTCCTTCTCCTTTTAGTCTGTAAAGAGGAGCAGAACCTGGAAATCATTGTGCTCTTCCAGGTCCTTTCTAGCCCTCGTGGAAGATTTTGATAGAAAATTGACTTAAAAGTAGCAATACTGTTCATTGTATTTACAGAAAAAGGGAAAAAAAATCAGCTGTGAAAAGAGAGAAGGGGAGAGGAGAGAAGGGCAAGGCCCACAGAAATGTGTCTGGTCATGCCTGTTAAAGGAATGGCATTGTTGGTTCTCTCCTGTAATTCACTTTGTCACATTCCTATCAAGGACAACAACTTTCAGCTGGCAAAAATGGCAAATGGCTTCTAGAAAACTTGAGTGCAGTTCCCAGTAGTTTCTTATTTGTAAGAAGTCTGAGAGTGTTTACCACCCATGCAAACTGAGACAGTTGTGTGATAAATAGTATTGGGGTAATTTGCTGCCGAGTAATATAGAAGGCAAGTTTATATAAACAACCTAAATCCAATAGAAGTTGGTTTTTTTGTATCAA